GGTGGACAACAGAAAAGTGGGTGAAGGGAGACATCGGACAGTGTAAGATATGACAAAATAATAATAATTTATAAATTATCAAGGGTTCATGAGGGGGGAGGAGCAGGGAGGGAGGGAGAAAATGAGGAGCCGATATCAAGGGCTCAAGTAGAAAGAAAATGTTTCGAGAACGATGCTGGCAGCAGATGTACAAATGTGCTTGACACAGTGGATGTATGTGTGGATTGTGATAAGCGTTGCATGAGCCTCTAATAAAATTATTTTTTTTAAAGAAGATAAATGGAATATACAGTTATTGTGCCAAAAATAATAGGTCAGTGTTCAATCATTGCTATTAAATATGTCCATGCATAGGAACCAGATTGAATAAGTTTTACATCCATACAGTGAAATATATTTAAGTCACAAGAGATGTGTTAAATAAGTTACCATTTATGGAAAAAATGGTGAAGGGAAGACAATAGATATTTATTAGCTTCTAAATTCATAGGCTATCAAGAATGTTGTGAGATATGCTGTTGCCTTAGGCGCAAAACTGGATGGCTGGTTGACAGGACTGGAAAGATTTTTACCTTTTTAATTTAGAACTGCACAGAATCACTATTCAAAAATTATGTATATTTTAAGAAGTATTTTTATTGAAGCAGTCACTGACTTTTTTGTGTAGGGATAAAAGATGATGAAACACTGAGAAATGGAAAGAAAAGAAGGAAAGGACCACATGCTGTCACCTTGTCAAGTCTCACGAGCTTCGTGTGTAAAGGTTTGCTCTCTGCCATTTGTATGTTCACAGGTTTGTCAAGATCACGGTCATAGTTAATACGTTAAGGAGAAAATTATGGGTGTGATTTTGCTTGTTGGATAGCATAATGAATATATATTTTAATATTTGGATATATTGCCATCTCTTAAATATCTGTATCAAGATATACGACAAAACATCCCCAAATTGCAATTGAATTCTTTTTCACATCTCTGTTGTGAGAGAAATGGCATTCAGTGAACATTGTCATCAACTTTCTAATTCACTTTTTAAAAGATGTCCTAACGTGGTGTTATATAGTGCTTTGGGGATCATTTAGTATCATTTTCTAAATATAAAATGCTCACTGTCCTTAGGAAAGGATTCAGTTGAAAATTTTTTAAATGCCCCATAATTCTCACAATCAATATGACCTCAGTAACAATGTTGGTTATAATTTGGGTCCTTATCTGTGTGAAACTATTGAAATACTGTCTCAGAGGTATACATTCTAGGGGTATCAGAACAATGATCAGTTTGTTTCATAGTACTAAACCATGCAGGCCTCCTAAAAGAAATGATGGTATTTGAGCTGAACTTTAAATAATGTGGAAATATTAGGAGCCAGAAACAGAAGACAAAGAGCATTCTGGGTGGAGGGAAAAATATTCACAAGGACGGGAATGAAAGTTCGTTTGGGTTCAGGGTATTTTAAGTTGATATTGAAGCACAGGTGAGAGATCGCAGTGGTTATACATGAAGCAGAGAAGTAGTTTTGAGACCAGCTTGAACACATGTAAGCAATGGGGGCATCTAAACATCTTCAAACATAGGAATTGTATTCTCTAACCTTTATTCTAGGAAGATACATCAAGATTGGAACTCCCACTACTGTTCCTGAGGGTTTTCTGTTCTGAATTCCATGTGTCTAGAGCTCTTATCTGTACCAATGTGTGTACTCCGGTCTAGCCGGATTTGTAAGGTAGAACTGGGTCATTGTACTGGGGGGCTGAGGGGAGAAGGGGGGGAAGCATTCAGGAACTAGAGGAATGATGCGTGTTTCTTTTTTTAAAATCATTTTATTGGGGGTTCGTACAGCTCTTATCACAATCCATCCATCCATCCATGTGTCAAGTACATCTTTACATTTGTTGCCATCATTTTCAAAACACTTTCTACTGGAACCCTTGATATCAGCTCCTCATTTCTTTCCCTCCCTCCCTCATGAACCCTTGATAATTTATAAGTTTTTTCTTCATGTCTTATATTGACCGATGTTTCACCCACTTTTCTGTTGTCCATCTCCCTGGGAGGGGGTTATATGTAGATCATTGTGATCGGTTCCCCCTTTCTCCTCCCATCTTACCCTTACCCTTCAGGTATCACTACTCTCATTATTGGTTCTGAGGGGTTTCTCTGTCCTGGAGTCCTTGTGTTTCCAGCGCTCATCTGCACCGTGTATAGCATAGTAGCGGGAGTAGCGATATCATGAGGGTACGGCATGGTTGGGGCGAGGGCTGGGGAATGGGAGAAAGGGGGAACCCATTACAAGGTTGGCTATATAGCCCACCCCCCAGGGGATGAATAACAGAAATGTGGGTGAAGGGAGACAGCGGACAGTGTAAGACATGAAATAACAACAGTAATGTATTAAGGATATATCAAGGATTCACCAGGGTGGGAGGGGGAGGGAGGGGAAAAAAGAGGAACTGCTACCAAGGGATCAAGTAGAAAGAAAATGTTTTGGAAATGTTTGGCAACATATATGTAAGTGTGCTTAATACAATTGAATGATGGATTATTATAAGATTTGTAAGAGCCCCCAATAAAATTATTAATAATTTTTAAAAGAATGGAACAGTTTGGAAGAAACCTGTAGGAAGTGTTTGCAATCCAGTAAGGAAGAGAGACATTAATATAGCCAACTTTAGATCAAACTCAGGACAATGACTGTGGGGTTGAAAAGGGAAAACAGAAGGCATTGCATAGGCAGAATGTATGTGACTTGGCATGTGGATATGGAAAGCCTTGAAGAGGTAGCTTTGCAGAAATTGTTGCAGTGAGAGAAAGCTTATTTAAAGAAGCATCGTTTTTTGTTTTTTTGTTTTTTTAAATTACTGTGCTATTCAAATGATATTAGTTACCTAGAGCTGTTGTAAGAAAATACCTCAAACTGGGTGGCTGACAAGAATAGAACTTTATTATCTGATACTTCCTAAACATCATGTCAGCACTCGGAATATCTGTAGTGCTGGTTCCTCCTGAAGGCTTTGGGAGGAGAGTCTGCTCCATGCCTCTCACCTGGCTTGCAGTAGCCACATCCCATGATCTTCCTCTGTCCTGAAGACCTCAATCATATGGGATAACCTAACTGATTATATCTGCAAATGCATTCTAGCTAGGGCCACATTTATAGGTTCTCTTCAAACTGTCATTTTTAGGGAACATAATTCAATTCATTATTAATGTCAACCCACTGCCATTGAATCGATTCCAATTCACAGCAACCCTATAGAACAAATAACTTCTCTTTGGTTTTCAAAACTTTGTCTTTATAGCAGCAGTTCTCAACCTGTGGGTCACGACCCCTTTGGGGGTCGAATGATCCTTTCAACAGGGGTCGCCTAAGACCATCGGAAAACACATATCTCTGATGGTCTTAGGAACTGAGATACCACTCCTCTATCCATCTCCAGGCGGGTCTGCCCACATGCACATATGCCCACTTACAAGTACCGGGCGTGAAGACTGTTACCCATGCTACACCATGCTTCAAGACAAAAATTCATTTATTTGTAATTAGAGATAAATATTTCGCAATATATAATTACATATTGTTTTTGTGATGATGCTTTAACAATGAAAACACATCCTGCATATCAGATATTTACATTATGATTCATAATGTAGTAAAATTACAGTTATGAAGTAGCAACAAAATAATTTTATAGTTGGGGGTCACTACCACATGATGAAGTGTATTAAAGGGTTATGGCATTAAGAAGGTTGAGAACCACTGCTTTACAGGATGAGGAAACCTTATCTTTCTTCTGAGGAGTAGTGACTGGTGGGTTTGAACTCTATTTAGTAGTTCTTAACCTACTACCCACCAGGGCTCCTTGGTATGGTTCATTGCCATTGAGTTGATCTTGACTCGTAGCGACTCTATAGGACAGAATGGAACTGCCCAGTGGGTTTCTGAGTAGAAAACCTCATCTTTCTCCCACGGGGCAGTTTCTTCCATGGGGCATCTTTCAAGATTAGAAAACCTCATCTTTCTCCCGTGGGGCAGTTGATAGGTTTGAACTACTGACTTTGCAGTTAGCAGTCTAACACACAACCCACTATACACCCAGAGCTCCTTGGCTTAATGTGATTAGGCATCCTTCTTTGCCACAACTCACACTTGTTTGCCACATAATCAATTACTTCAATTGTAGACAGGGAAGAATCTGGTTAATAAAAAGCTTTATTGAGTTCTTAAGTGCAGTTTGACAGATAAAGGTTTTAAATATAGAAGGTCTTATTTCCTAGAAAAAAAGGAAATATCATTTTTTATCATATTTATAAATTTAATATCTTAAACATTATATATAAAAATACATTTTTACATTCTCTAAGGCATTTGTTTTTCAGTACTTCAATGAAAAGTTCTAAGTAAATTCAACATTACAAATTCATTTAATATGCAGTAATATGCAGTTTAATATGAAGTCCTGAAAATTCCTACAACCTTCAAAGCATAATTCTCGTAAAACAGCTGGGGGGCATATGTGCCGATTAAAAGGTGTAAATGGAGTCTTTCTTCAGAAGAGTCTTCCTGAGGCCCATCTTCCTGAGTTCAGTGCAGCACTCCTTGTTGAATGTGTCCTAACAGCTCCATCAGGCTGGGCATGCCTCTGTATAATCAACAGGCGGCTGGCATTTGCTATCCAATTTAAAGAATTTGGGTCATTACATACAACTTTTTATTTACCATTTCCATCACACAACAATCACTCAGAATGTCAGTGTATATCATCTCAAAAAAAATAAGAACAAATTAATAAAACTTTCAGCTTTTCAAGAAACCCGGGTGGCATAAATGGGTTACGCCTTGGGTCACTAACCACAGGGTCAGCAGTCCAAAACTACCTGCTGTTGCAAGGGAGAAAAATGAAGCTTTCTACTCCCATATAGATTCACAGTCTTGGAACTCCACCAGCAGTTCTACTCTGTCCTACTAAGTGGCTATGAACAGGAATTGACTTGACAGCAGTGAGTGGTTGAGTTCAACCTCTCAGTGTTTAATATTAATAAAATGTCAGTCTGCCTATTTTCTAGTCTTCCTTATCTCAGTACATTTACTGCCCAAGTCTAATCCATCAGTCATTCTTGATTCCTTGCTCTATCCCCTGCCCTCACTACGACCCTAGACCAAAACCAAACTCGCTGCCTTCAGTTAATTTCAACTCAGTGGGTTTATGTAGGGTTTCTGAGGTTTTGTAAAGAGTGCTGGTGGCACAGCAGTTTCGCATTGGCCTGCTTACCACAAGGTCAGCAGTTTGAAACCCCCAACCTCTGAGCAGGAGAAAGCAGAGGTTTTCTACTCCTGTATAGAGTTCCAGTCTCAGAAACCCACCGGGATAGTTCTGTCCTGTGCTATAGAGTGTCGATGAGTTGGAATCCACTTGATGGCAGTGAGTTTTGTGAGGCTTTCTAACTCTTTCCGGGAACAGACAGCCTCATTGATCCTGTGGTGTAGCAGCAACTGGGTTTGCACCACATTCCTTGTGGTCAGCAGTGGAGTTTACACCTGACATCACCACCACTACCACGGACTTGGAGTTCATGCGCCCTGGTGCAGGCAGGTGTGCTCTCTGCACAGTTCTTCCATCTGTCCGAGCCCACGCTGACTATCAAGCGAACCTTCAAACTCCTAGCCTTCCTTTCAGCTGGAAATGACCAATGAGAACAATTCTGACCGGTGATACGAAGGTAGAATTCCCCTAAATTCCTACAATCTTCAAGACATAATTCTCATAAAGTAAATTGGGGGGAATGTGCCTCTTAAAATACTGTTTGTGTGGGAACTAGCAGGGTGGCAAGGGTAGTTCAGAGTTTAAGAACTTGTGTATTTTAAATTATAGCGGAGAGAAGGGGGCGGGGCTGCAATCAGATCGTTACGTTAGGCAAGGACCCCATCGCCCTGGATACCGCATCATTACTAGTTTTTCCATTGGACAGAGTAGAAAACCAGCACCCTTGATTTTCTTTAAGCCAGCCTCTAACTGCACCGAGCTCGGGATATGTGGGCAGCCTTCTTACACACGGCTTGCTCTGGACATGAAAAGGCCATGCAGGCATCTTTATTTCCAAGTGTTGGCTGCTTCCCTTAAGTGTAGTAATGAACACGCTGAGCTTTATTCAGAGTTACAACTTCTGCTCTTTCAAGCCTCAGTCTGGGCGGTCTGCAGTGGCAGGAAACGCTTGTTTCCCTTCCCCAACTGTACTAGATGCTCTGTGGTCGGTACAAGAACCACTCTTCCTCACACCCTGTCAAACTGAGATGGGGCCTGCAATCCAGGCAGCAGGGTTAACATTAGCGAAATGACATCAGACCCTGCTGGGCAGTGGTAACTGTGCTGACAAACAACATCCTTACGTGCTAAGCTTCACGCTGCAAAGTGTCACTGGTTCCTGTAAAAAAGAAAGAAAAATGGAGAACTGTGATATAGTTACATGAAGTACAGTTAAAACTTGAGAAAAGAATTAAAGGAATAAAGAGAGGTAATAAGAAAAGTCATGTAATACAATCAAAGTATTATTCTGTGTTATGAAATAATGCACCTTATGTGCCCAGCTGCACAATCAAAGATTAACCCTGAAGTTTTATGCGGTAGACAGCATCAGATTTTATTTTTGTACAATTACAAACTAGCAAATAAGCCTCACTCACAGCACTTGTGCAAAGCTATTGTTAAATATTTGAAATAGTTGAAGGATAGAAATCACTCAATACTCTTAACATTCAAAATAAGAGTCCCAAATGTGTGAATCCAGGCAAATTTGCTATCAGCTATTTCAATTAACTTTTATTTCCACTCATTCCCTAGAAATCCTTATTCTTAGTGGTTTCACTGGAGTTAGTAGTCAAGTCTAATCATTTAACTGTTAATGCTCCCATGACTGCACTGCGTTTCCCTCCCACTCTTAAGTCACGGGAGATGAGGTTGCTGAAACAGTCACTCCATGTATAACTCCGTTGATGTTCTCTCTAGTGATAATGGCTTGGCTAGTTGTCTGATTAACATTTTCATGCCCATATGTTGAGGCTGGAAGAGAAGCTACTTTAACTTCCTTTTCGAGCTTCCCTGCACTCTCATCTTGACCAAATAATGCCCAAACTCTGTTCTACTTCTTAAAGGATCCAGAGAAGTGGAAGTATGTACACTGTAGCAATTCATGGATTTATTCTAGTCAGTTGTTCTTTTTGTCTGCAGATGGGCTGATGCGATGCTGAACTTCCCAATTTCTTAAATTTAGCAGTTGTGGGGAAGAAGGCTGAACAGGGAAGCCGACCCAAGCCCCGTGACACCTGAAGAGACCCTGAAGAGCCCGGGATCAGACACCTTTCACTGCCAGTCCACGCGCACAAACCTTGGTCTCCACGCCCTCTGTAACCACAAAATAAAGAGTTGGGAAATATGTCTTGTTTATGAAGGTTCACCTCCAACACCCGAAAGCCTGAAGTCCAAGTCACTGGTGGAAGCTGTGGGATGTTTATTCCATATCCAGATATTTCACAGGCAAAGAGGCGAACGAGGCTGCACTTGCTCGAGTAGTGTGCCTGGTAAGCATGTGTGAAATATGACCAAGTCCGCCACACAACAGCAAGCCTTACCCAAGCTCCTGTGCGTGAGTTTTTCTTCCCCAGTTTTATATTTGTAGCCGTTGGTGATGCCCCTTCTTTCAACAAGTATTAGTGGGTTTTGTATTCCAGGCAATATTTGTTTCCAGATGATAATGTAACTTTTTACACTTGCTGTTCTAGGTACACTGATGATGAGTTTCTAACGAGGAGCTTCCTGCTCTTTAAACGATCATAGCACTTTATAAAGTAAGAAAATGGGCAGTCTTCTGCTGCCCTTGATAGTTTTTCACAGTCTTGGGCTTTTTGCTCATGTAGGTTTCTGGGTGAATGTATATTCCATCTAATTTTGCTGCTGCCGTTAACTGTAGTAATATCAATCCCTATTTCATGGAGACCCCATGAAGAATCTGATCAGAGCATAGGGGTCGTGGGGTTTTCTTTGATAGATAGATTTTGGTTGTGGATGCTGCTGAGAATATATACAGTGCAACCTACACACCAATTCCACACTTCCTCCATGTGCACTGCCGTGGCACTGACTACATTCTTCAAGTTGTGCCATCATTCATTCTCACCCTCCTTTCCAAGTTTTCCCCTCCCATCAACAGAATAAACGCACGGCCCCGCCCCCCACAAGGTGACTATCCCGCCTTTCCATTTGCTACCATCAATGTGATCCCATATAGAAAGCTCATAAAAGAGCAGGAGGCTCAGGGCAGACATTGTTTATTATGAGTTAGATTAGCTGCTGCTTGGATTCAAGAAGACTTGGGAGACATTTTGGTTTAAAGTTTAAAGATGATCTCAGGGCCAGGGCATCATAGGTTCATCCAGCCTCACTGACCCCAGAAAAGTCTGGAGTCCATGAGAATTTGAAAACCTATTTGCACCCCTCACCTTCTTTGATCAGGGTTTTTCTATGGACTCTGATCAAAATGTTCCGTAATGGCGGTTGGTTTCCACCTAGTTGTTCTGCTCTCTGGCAGAGGAGGCGTGATGTGTGGAGGCAATTATCCACACATTCCATTTCCCGCTCTTATTTCCGCCTCTCCTCCTTCCCCTGCTGGTCTAGGTGAATAAACACTAGGTGAATACACCCAGTTGTACTTTGAGTGGCTGCTTGCAAGCTTTTAAGACCAAAGACACTTCACAGCAAATCAGGAAGCGGAATAGAAGTACTAAACTTAATATTAAGCCAGTAACTGGGGTAGCCAATGAAACCGTGCCTCTCAACCTCCAAGCCAAGAAACCAAATCTCATGAGATGTTTGGTTGTACATATGTCTCAACAGCTACTTTGTTGTTGTAGTAAACATATCTACCACACAACTTGTGCAAACAGTTCATTTTTTTTTACAGGGGCTTCACAATTACATCACTTGGCAGTGTGATTTAGCATGAGTTTTCCATCACCACAAACTGAACATCGGTTGTCCGTATACAGTAACCTGGTACCATTAATGAAGTTTTGTCTCTACACATTTACTTGTTCTTGTCTTTTTATGTAAATGTGATCATATATGTCCTTTTTTGACTGCCTTATTTAAAATTCAGCCTCATGTATTCATGCTTTCTCCGTATTTAGCAAGAAGCGATTTTCATTACTGTCTCAATAGTATTCCATTGTATATATGTATATTTTCTTAGCCATAAATATGTGGATTTATTTCCAGACTCTCCATTTTATTCCGTCAGTCTAGGTTTCTATTGTTATGCCAGTACCAGGTTGTTTTGATTACTATAGCTGTACATTTCAAAATCAGGAAGAGTGAGTCCTCCTACATTGTTATGTTCCAACATTGCTTTAGCTATTCAAGTTCTGTTTTATTCCTTAATGAACTTGAGAATGTTTTTTTTCCATTTCTATAAAAGAAGGAGGCTGTTGGAATTTTTATTGGGGTTGGGTTGCTTCTTAAATCTCTTTTGGTAGTATGGACATCTGTGTTAGTCTGGGTAGACTAGAGAAACAAATCCATAGACACTCGTGTGTGTGTATAAGAAAGATCTTTATATACAAGAGCAATTGAATATTGATCAAACATCCCAGCCCAGTCCAGATCAAGTCCATAAGTCTGGTATTAGCCCATATGTCTGATACCAATCTATAAAGTCCTCTTCAGACTCAGGAAACGTGCAATGATGTCAAATGCAGGAAGATCACAGGTCTGTGGGTGGGAAGTCTTGTGGGTCCAGTGGTGGTGTAAGCATCTCAGCACTGGCAGGGGCCTCCACGTGGCTTCTCCGGCTACAGAGGTCTGGTTCCATCAGCCTCTCCTTGTGTCTTCTCCACAGGGATGTCTCACAGGGAGTGAGCGGAGAGAGTGTCTCATGCCTCCAGAGAGGAATTGCAGGAGTTCCCAGAATCTTCAGGAGAAGGCCATGATCACACAGAGGCCTCATTAGCTATATCCCAATTGACAAGCTAGAGTCCACCCCTATACTCTTAATCCTCAAATTGACACCAGATTATGTAACCACCACAACATCCTAATTGTATTAAGTTTTCTAATGCAGTGAATGTGGAACATTAAAGTTAGTTTCAAACATTTTATTTGTAGATCAGTTAAAATAGGACATGTGGCCTTTAGAGAAGGGAAGAAAGCACATGTGTGATGTGTGAAACAGAACTTCACTTCCCTGCATCTTTTCCTCACTCCAGGCTCTCACTAACCCATGGCGGTGTTTATGGTGCATTGAACTGTGATGCAACTGCACTTTGCAGACTGTAGTGCTTTCCAATAAAAATCACATTTACTGAAAGAATCACATTTAAAAATCAGAAAAATAAGAGGTGGTTTTAATTGAGAAGATTATAAAAAACAACTTTAAAAAGATGTTCTTATAGAAAAAAAGTGTGGACTGCAATCTGGACATGGACACTTTTGTGCTTGGTCCCTCCCAGTCAGTTTTCCTCTCCTTTTCCACATCCACAGAGGCGGACTTGCCAGGGAGCTATGGAAGCTTATTCCCAGGTCCTCACGAGAGCCTTAGCACTGCTCTAGTGCTCGTATGCCCTTGTCTCATAGTGACCACACCGGGAAGAGGATCCCTACCCCTTGGAGTGTCCTAGACTGTACTCTGTCTCTACAGGAAGGGTCTCTTCTCCCACAGAGTGGCCAGTGGTTTGAACCACTGACCTGTTAACAGCCAAGCACTCATCATCCACTGTGACTCTGACGGCTTACAACACCGCCATGCAAGGTGTGCGGACGATGTCAGTGTGTCCTAGAGTGCTAGTCATAGCAGATATTAGATGAGGAAATCAGGTTTGAAATAAAAGGAGCCAGATTATAACATTGTTCAATTCCAGGCAGAGAGGTGACCTCCAAAGACTATGGAGACAGTTTGTGAGGGGAGGGTGGTTCTGAAGAAGTAATCTTGATGGATTTTCTCAAAGGGCACAGAATGATCATGGGGAGGTTATTGTGAAGAAACTTAAGAAACATTTAAATTGAATTGGTGAGAAAAAGACCAGCAAAGTGTGCTGAATAATTTTTTTTCCCATTACAACAATGTACCTGCTCACTCTTCAGGAGTAGCAAGGCCTGTCCAATGCGAAATTTGTTGGGAAACCGCACCCCATCTACCTGATGGCCCTGATGTTGCCCCTTCTCTTTTTTCCTCAAACGCAAAGGACATTTGAAATGGGCCATGATTTCAGTCCCTAGAGAATGCCAAAACTAAGTCAAAGAGCACCGAATTCTTCAGGGGAGGGTGAGAGTGATGGAAACAGAAGTTTAGATACCTCGATGAAGAGTACTTTGAGACTTGGGGTTAATTAAAGTTATGATGGTAGCAAGGGAGAAAGATGAAGCTTTCTACTTCTATAAAGACTTACATTCCAGAAACCCACAAGGACAGTTCTGCCTGTCCTATAGGGTTGTTATGCGTCGGCATTGACTTGATGGCAGTGTGTGTGTGTGTGTGCACGCGCGCGTGCAATATTTTCCTTACCCTAGTGTGTTTCCCGGTTATCCCTGCTAACCCCTGCTTCTAGATGTCACACTGTTGACTCCCGTGATTGCCTTATTATGCTTTTGTAACTTTCAATCCTTGCTTCAATTCTACTAAAATGTTCTTTTTCCTTGTGTGGAGGGGTGGCCATTTTCACTCTGAATGTGGACGTCTTTCTAGTTCTGACTGTCTCTCTCCTTCACTCAACCTCTATTGTTTTTGCTTGAAGCAGACCAATTAGTGTGCTCTATCTAGCCATGATTCCACATATGATATATTATGGTTTGGGATTGTATATGCTGGAGGCTATGGTCTCATTTTGGAGGGCATTCTCTACCATGCTGACAGACAGAAGTGGGGTGGGATTGAGACCGGGCCTTGGAGGAGGGTGTGAACCAAGCCACACCCATAGTTTCCTTGAAGGCATCTTTAAGATCCCACCTTAGCAGAGGGTGTGAACCAAGCCTTTGGTTCCTTGGGGGCATCTGAAGACTACTTTAGTAAGGGTGTGACTCAGTCCCCAAACCCTCCTTAAAATGATTGAAAGAACACCCTGAGGTAGTTAGTTTATTGTGCCAGGCTGGCTGATAAACACCAGTGGGATTAATTGAATGGCGGAGAGATAAATGGCTCAGTGAGCCTCGCCTTTCTTGTCTCTCGTTCTGTGATCATTGGACCAGTGTGCGGCTGCCTTGCTTGTTCTGTGCCTCAATTTACAGGCTACACTATCTGTGGGACACCTAGCCTGTGGACTGTGTCGCTGTAAGTTGAGGTCCCTTTAAGACCACACGATTGAAATTTACATCTCTTGAGCTGGGGACTGACAGTTGGTGACCTGGCTGACAGTTGGTGACCTGCCTTGCTGTTTGCTGCTGTGCTGA